TAGTCATGCTATAGTCACGGTAACTTATGCATTCATACTGGCGTTTTGTAACAGTGTGGTGAAGACATAATAATACGTCTTTGTGATCAGAAATACCATTAATCACACGAGATATAAAGTCCCTTGTATAAAGTAACGCACTCTAACGCACTCTAACGAAAAACAGTCTAGGATAGCACTCTCTCTTGTGGCATCAGTCACAACTTGTTTTAGTCCTTAGTTTAATTAAAGTTAACCAACTTCCTACAAAGTGGCAAATCAGTATCCAGGATGGACAGGGATTGCCATAAGATGCTAGGCACATTGAAGTCACCCATGCAAATTTGGTTCTCTGAAGGAAACCCTTTTTGGTTTATGAAACTGCTAAGTACCGTTAGCTGTTGCGGTGATGAGCCGAAGGGCACGATAAAATACACCGACAATTAGAGGTACTCGCGATATGGACCTTACACCAAACAGTTTCGATGTCTGGAGGTGACTTCAGTACAGAAAAGCTCAAATCAGGCCTCAAGAAGATGGCAACGCCCACCGCGAGCATGTTGCCTATCAGCACGAACAACATTGAACCCTGGTGGAGTAACTTCCAAGTCATAAATGTCAGCGTGAAGCCAAGTTTCCGTGACACCAATAATGTGGGGACAATCAGTTGTAAGCAAGTGTACAAAATCAGGAAGTTTAGTATTGAGACTTCTGGGATTAATATTCAGTAGGCAGATGTTATCTTGTGCCTCATGATGTGGTCGTTTCGTACAATTAGATGAAACGGTAGAGCTCTTAATAGACTGTTTCGAGGACTTCAGTAGTGAATTGGAAATGCAATCCCAGTCATACCATTCACTATCAACATATACATGGTCATACCTTAAGTGTACAGTGGAACCCTTGTCTCTGAAAGATGCAGTAGCATTCTATAATTTTTGATGTATAAACCGTACATGCTCCGAGAAGTCTTCGGTTATCCATAGTTTAGAACCCTTTAGCTTGTGGGGTCTCGACTTGGCGGGTGACAGCCATGCCACGCTCTTGGAGTGAACGGACACAGCAGACACGGTCGGTACAAACCAAACAACAAACACACATTTATTTAACTACTTTTTAACGACGATATCGTCCGCCAAATCGATCCATCAATTGCTATTAACACGCTAAGACATCCTTACACACAATTTTCATACACCCCAAAACATGACAAGCACACAATAACATACCCAAGGCGTCGTCGTCAATGCTTGATTTACCACGTGTGCCCCCCGGCGCGCAGGCTGCGGTGCTACGCGCCGAGGACCCACGCTAGAGACAACCGTTTGCGGCAACCGCCACACGCAGAAGAGACCCGCTCTACTCTCGTCCACCACCAAGGCTTGCTTTCCACCAGGGGTCACCACCGGCACTACACCATGATGATGAGGACGATAGTGGTGGTCAACTCTCGCGAACACAATGCCACCTATCGCCCGGTGGTTGTAACTTGAAATGCGGCTTTTGGGCGAGGCATGTGTGCCACATGGCACACACAACTTTACAGGGGCTGTCAGCACCCCCACAAGCTTGAAGCTATTCCTCAACATCTCGATCTTTTCGCAGAAATCAAGATGCCTAAGAATGACAGGGCAGGATTTACTACCATGGTATGTATCGTTCCTGTGGAACCGTAGAATCTGCGGAAAATCAACCTTAAGTGTTGGGTGTTGTTGGACAGTTTATATGTATCTTATTTTTCTAAATCTAAGCCTTCTTTTCTATACTGCCCCAAATTTTGTATTTTCATGATTAAAAAAGTTGTTTCTTTCCTTGTAACCTGCTCCAAATTTAGATTTTAGTGCTACAAAAATTGCTCCAAATTGTCCTGTCATTGACACAATTCACATTCTGTAGACTCCTGAGAATACGCCTTGTTACCAGCTCAACATCCTTACTTCTTCAGAACACTGCAGATCATCGGCCTCGTTCTTAAAACAGTTAGTATTGCCAGCTAGTCTTAGGGCTCCTACGAAATTTTCAGCCATTGTTTGATTGCGACCAACCATTCCTGTGTCAAGCATAATTCACAGCATCCACACTGGTTCCCATCCTCAATTACGCCAGTGCCCATACCGTGTGTTGGCTGCTGAACAATGGGTAACAGAGAGCAAGTCGACGATGACGCCTGGCGTCATTTGCCCTTTCCACAGCCCCTGGGCATCTCCTGTGGTGATGGAACACAAAAAGGATGGGTCAATATGCTTCCATGTAGAATATTGTCGGCTCAATAAGATCGCTCGCAAGGGTGTCTATCCGCTCTCCCGAATAGATGATGCCCTCAACTGCTTGCAGAGAGTAGAGTGCTTCTAATATCTAGATCTTTGCTCCGGCTATTGGCAAGTAGCAATGGCTGAAAATGACTGCGAAAAGACAGCTTTTGCGTGCCTGGTGGTTTGTACGAATTTACTGTCATGCCCTTCAGCCTCTGCAACATGCCAGTAACATGGCCCTTCGCCTGTACTTACCAGTAACAACTTCAGCCATGTTTGCAGCTACTATTTGAGCGTGGAAGCATCAAATTTCGATTTCGACCCGCCAGCGTGTGAAGCATCTGACATGCTGCCCTGAATCGATTTCCTCATTGTGCTTGCCTAGTGTAAGGCCCGATGACTAACATCCTTTCCAGAGCTGACAAAACTAAACTGTGCTTGCATTGTCATTGCCTTGTAGAAGAAAGCACTCATTGCATCCTTCTACTGTCAAAGGCGGGAGTTATGAAACAGAGTTGGCACTCGCGTCACATACACAGGGTGGCCTGCATTTACAAGTGTGATTACAGAATTGGCCTCCAGTTTGGAAAATTGGTTTTCTAAAAAAAGTAAATGACTTATGGTTGTATAATTTGGCACCTATCACCACGGTATTAACGAGAACACATATTCCAAGTTTTATGGAAATTGGTTGATTTAAAAAAATTGCCAGAGTTCCGCTTCAAAGGGGGACGTGACAATGAAAACTATTTTTGTTATTTAGGAAGATAAAGTGATAAAATTTAGCATGCAGATTTCATTTCTAGTGCTGATATGATAACTGAAATCGGTTTTTGACTGTGTAACGTAGGTTCTGAGTACAACACTTCATAGGCTATCATTGTCATCTCAAAATTATTTAATTTATTAGACATAATACCATCAAACTTTTTCATAAGGTAATTAACAGGGGCCCATTTCATGCTTTAATGCTATTGGTTTATTTTTTAACACCCAAGTTAGCACACAAAAAATACCTTTTGAAATGTCCTTTGCATATTGTCTTACTATCAACTTAAAAAAAAAACTATTATAAATATTTGTGTAATGTGTACAGAAACATTGACACTCACCAATGTTTGGCACTCACCACCAAGACACTCACCACCAACATTGGCACTCACCAATGTCTTGTTATCTAAGTGCAGAAAACAGAATGGCTATATCTTCCTTTGTTGCGAAATGGCACGGAGATGACGGGTAGCCATTGCTTAAAAAAATGAAAGAAGAAAATGGAGTTAGGGAAACTGTGAAGGGGAGAGCTGGCTTTATTTTAAAGATGAGGGCAGAAATTTCGGTCTGTCTGGATACCTGGCAAAAGCCATTGCTCAATGTGTAGCCATTTTTGGCTGCATTCATACTTGTGAACATTGTCAGCCAAAAAGCAAATATTGTGCATACTTGAGGCTTAACATTTATGCGTAAGTGTGAGGCAGTGTACTTCTTACTTCAGAAAATGCATTAGGATGCAATTCTAAAGACCGCAGTGTTTATTTTGCTGGGGAGCATGACGATTGGGACGGCCGGTCCAGGCTCTGGACGCGGAGGCCATGGGCACAAGCTCCTTTTTTGTGACATTACTGCTGGATGGCATCGATATCTCGTGCAGGGTCTCCTCTATTTTATTATTTCCAGCTAGAATTCTACATAGAGGAGGCCACTTATGAGACCAAAACTCGTGTAGATGAACAGAATTTGCTGCAGATGCGCAGTCAATTTTTTCATTAGAGAAATGCAGCTTTGTAACTATCTTGAGCTTCGATCTGTCGTCTGTACAATGATGTGGTGGCATTGTGCCAAGGGAAAACTGCAGGTTTGCATTTTTTAAAGCCCAGTTTCCTTATAACTTTTGACGACCACCCACCAGTACAATGCTTTTTTCTCAACTTGTACTGCTTATTAGTCCAATGTTTCACCATGATGTAAAACATGGCCTCGGGATTGCAGAAAAAATGTATTGAAAAGTTAAACATTTTGATCAAATTTACCATTGCCACGTCCCCACTTAAAAGGGCCTTGAAACGTTTTTTTGGGTAACCATGAAAATAATTCGTTGGAAGAGCTTATTGCCTCACAAATTCAATGCCGCTAAAATTTTAAGAATCCGTCCAGTACGAGTGGAGTTACAAAGATTTGTCATACGCTGCAATTGCATTCTTTCTTCTCTCATCCCCACGAAAGTGCTGGAAGCTAAACAGGGAGGGATGGGAGGGGCAAACGAAAAAACGTCATGTGCGCCTTGTGACCTTGAGCAATTTTTAATTTTTTTTTCGAATACGTGGTTTTTTCAGTGCGGTCGCACGTGCACGCGTGGACAAGTGACAGCGTCCAGCGGCGATCTCTGTAACGATCGAGCGCACCATGTTCAAATCAGCCAATGGCTGATGGGCATTCTACGAGTGATTTTTGAGTGTCTTCCGTCATTTGTCGAGGGAAGACAAAGCAATTTTTAGCTGACTTTGATCATTTATTGTGCATTCCAGGCCGCGTGCTGCGCTATAACATTTGGCTCACGTGCTCTCCGAAGCCTCTACTACCGATCGGCAGCGTTTTCTGGCTATGCTCAAAAAGTTTTGCAGGGTGCCTTTAAGTTTGACCTCACATGAATGATGTTAAATAATGTCATTGGAAATAAAATCTAGCTCCATCTTTTTCCAAACTGGCCTTGCTTCCTTCCCCCATGTAATACTCGAGAGAGCTCTTAAGGGAACCATAAATGATGATGCGCAGCCATGGGCGATGGTTTCATCCCAACCTTTCCGGTCTGGAAGCTGAACAGATCCTGCTGGACCAAGGATGCGATGGGAGCTTCCTGGCGCGCCCCAGCAAGTCCAAGAAAGGAGACTTCACATTGTCCGTCAGGTTGGTTATCTTAATCAAACATCCTCTGGTGTATTTCTATGCACATGCTGGCACTGTTCGCACTTTGTTTATGCTGCTTTTAACCAGGGGAGGGGTGTGCCACAGCCAAACCGTATTGACCACCATGGTGTGCACTTTCATTGCGTTCACTGCAATCCACCATTTTTCAGCATTCTTTACAAAGGCCTGTGCAAAGAAATGAATGCTAAATTTTCACAGTCAGTGGGGACCTTGTGCACATATAATCAGTGCTCAAAAAAAGCAAAGCAAAGCAAGCCTGGGTGTTGAGAAGGTGAAATATTGTGTGTGTGTGTAAGCGCAGTGCTGCTGCCATGTGTTGTCACGTCACAAAGGTAAATGCGTCAACAGACGACAGTTACATTAAGTGCTCAGTTAATGTTGCAGTTTATTGTATGCAAAGTGAGTAAAATGCTCTTTTTCTATTGTCTCGAGAGGTGCTTCAGAAAGAGAGAGGCTTGAATGCCGCTGGAACAGTACTTCCACAGCAGCATTTTCACACCAAGAAAAATTTTTTTCAAGGAATACTGCTTGTGTTCTTCCAAAAATTGATGTTTTCCTTAGATGCTCACCTATGCTACCAAAAACTGATGTTATTTCAGGAATACTGCATCTAATTACTTTTATGCTCTGTTTTACGGGGAAGTTTATTTGTAAGGCTTTTGTTGGCTTCCACAAGTCTGCTTCTGCTAGAGAGGTCATGTACTGTATTCAGGCATCATAGCTGATTTTTATTTAAAAAAAAAATGGTTTCAATTGTGGGTTTGCAGATTGAGCACTTTTTCATTGTTTCAAAAAGCTAGAAATTCACAATTGTAGCTTTCCAGTGAATGAGCAGGCAAGAATCTGCGCAGGAGGAATGGTGTGGTGACGCATATCAAGATTCGCAACACGGGCGACTACTATGACCTGTACGGGGGTGAGAACTTTGCCACTTTGGCTGAATTGGTTCAGTACTACATGGAGAACCAAGACCAACTCAAGGAGCGCAATGGGGAGATCATTGAACTCAAGTACCCGCTCATCTGTGCTGATCCCACCACTGAGAGGTGAGCAACAAATGACCCTTTGATCACAAATGGTGCTAGGGCATCTTGGTATCCCGCATAAGAGGCATTCCTTATCAAGCGCAAGTTTTCAAAAACATAGCTTGTGAAAGAGTGAGGCCTACTTATCGACACAATCCGCAACCAAAATTGCAGTCCCACATTTTTTTGCCTCACATGAGTGGATCGGCTGTGCCACTTGCACCATCCTGCACCTAACCACCCCAGTGCACGAACTTTCTCATCAGTGCCGTACTGCACCGCAGTACCCGAATTTAGCCACCAGGTGCTTTAAAACGTGGCTGAAACAAAGTGTTTTCAGTTTCATCGAAACAGTTACAGTTGCATCAAGGTTGCGATTGCTTGAGCAGCATTCTGTGAACTTGGATTGTAAGGTAGTGATCGTGTAAAATCATTGGTGCGCCTGCTATCTCGGCAGATATCAGTGCGAGTAACTCGTTAATCCTTTTGTAAGCTGCGCTTTTAACACGGACTCAGCACGGAGAGAATCCCTCCAGTAATTTGTAGAGTTACCATATTTCCTCGCATATCAGCTGCACCAAAAATTGAAAAAAATCGCCTGAAAAAAGGGGGGGGGGGGGGGTTATCTGTGAATAATCCTGAAGCAGAGGTCGGGCTTCACGGCAATGCAATACCCAATACCTCCCGTGCAGTCCGCATTCCCATCGGCATCATCTGGGGCAAAGCCAATTAAAGCCAACACAAGCCATAGATAGACCCTCTCCGTAGCGTGTTTATTCACTTTTTGTGTGCTTTGTTTGATTTGGTCAACAGCGTCACAACAGTGATTTAACAGTGTCTTTCTGCAAGTCAGGTAAGGCCAGTTTGGACCTCTGGTCAGCCTTGTCTGGTGAGGCACCATGAGTGGGTCTCTGTGGCAATCTTTCACTGCGACAGAAAAACTAAAAATTATAGCTGCTGCGAGAGAAATTGGCAACAGAGCTGCTGTTAGGAGGCTCGTTGCTGATGAGTCCTTTCTCGAAAGTGCACGCAAGGAGAAGCGAGCATTTCGCTGCTTAAAGACTGGATCATACCCCCTTCTTGAGACGCAGCTTGTCAAATTTATTGAGGAGTGGAGGAGTCACGGCCATGCTGTGTCAACGTATATGGCGCAAATGAAAGCGCTGAGGTTGGCCCGCAAGATAAACATCTAACACAAGTTTCATGCGAGCCGTGGATGGCTCCAGCAATTCATGACCAGGCACAGATTTTCGATGCCGTGGCGAATGACTATGTGCCAGCGGCCTCCCAATACCTACGAGGATAAGCTGTTGAGCTATCAATGTTATGTCATCGGGCTGCGGAAGGAGCACTACTACTTGATCTTCCAGGTGGGAAATGCTGATCAAACGCCAGTGTACTTTGAGATGCCCATGGACACCACTCTACAGAAAAATAGCTCAAAATCTGTAAGTGTACTGACAGGCGGAAACACCAAGCTACGCTGCACAGTAATGTTGTGCGCGTTAGCAGACAGTACTAAACTGTGTGTGTACGTAATCTTCAAGTGCAAAACGCTACCCAGCACTCTACTGCCGCCAGGGATGGTTTTGTGACACGAAGATAATGTTTGGATGAATGGTGACCTCGTCTGTGACTGGCTTTGCACGATTTGGGAGAAGAGGCCGGACCCATGTTGGCACGGCAGTCGATGCTGGTGTTGGACTCGTTTCGAGGCCACTGCACTGACGCAGTGAAAGCGCGCCTCACTGACCTCCACACCAACCTTGTGATCATACTCGGTGGCTTGACTTCCATGCTATATCCACTGAATGTGTGCCTCAATAAGCTGTTCAAAGCGCGCGTGAAGCAACCGTATGCCGATTGGATGGCCGGCGGCCGTTACGCCCTGACACCGACAGGGCGCGTGCAGAGACCAGACATTGCGCTGCTGTGCCAGTGGATCGTGAGCGGTGTTTCTGGCCGACATGGTGCGCAAGAGCTTCAAAAAGTGCGCCATCAGCAATTGCTTGGATGGCACTTAAGACGATTGCATCTTCAAGAGCGGCGACGAAGCCTCGAATGGCAGCAGCGACAGCGGCGAGTCGGGCGATGATTGAAGGAACGGTAATCGACGCCGTCAATGTTGCAGCGATCGCTTCGAAATAAAGTTCTTTTGTAAACGAGATTGTGATGTGCTGTGCAATTGTGACTTTTTAAAACAGTTTTTTAAGCTAAGCATGCAAGTTATACGCAAAGATTTTTTTTTTTCTGGGGAGTTCACAGTCAAGGGTGCGGCTTATATGCGAAGGCAGGTTATGTGCGAAAAAATACGGTACGCGATATTGGATCCAAGAGAGTTAGCTGGCAGCCTTAATTCGTATAACATAACTTGTTGCTATTGCATTCATAACTTTGCCCTTGCAGTGAAACTGGTGGCGCCATTTATGTCGCCTGTTTTGACAGTTTTGACAGCGCGTTGTTGACACGAAAAAAAAAAATCGGTTCTGGAGAATTCACACTGGAAAATTTTAGTGAAAACGCCAGAGCAGCCGGAAAACCACGCCCGTGCTAATCAAAACATTCGTTTTGCCTCACATGCCGCCGCTACCATCGCCGCATGAGAATTTTTTTCATTTCGCCCATTTCCTGAGCATTCAAGTTTGTACTGAGTCCAAATTATGCATGCAAAGCTCTAAGATGAAACAGTTTTACACCTTTACAAACTCCAGCAGAAGTGACACGAGCGGACGCAGTGGCAGGGACGGATTCAGCCAGCAGTGAAAAAGCGAGGTACATTAGGGCATGCCGAATCACTGCTGCTGCACTGCTGGTAGTGCCTACCACCTGACTTGAAGTGAAGCGAGGACTGCGCTTTTCTCGTTATAGTATTTTGCTTTTCAGACAGCGATCATCAACAGAGACACGCATCACCACCAAGATATGTTTCCACTGACCCCTTTAAAACTAACACGCCAAGGATGACACGGCACCTTTGAAAAAGATAGTTCCTCCTTTCAAAACGTCGACCGGCCAGTCTGAGGCACTTCACCTGTTCATCTTATGATTATCTCACTACGTTGTCTCCATCTGTCGGCTCCCATCAAGATATTGAATCGCAGCTTATTTTATACAATGTAGTCCATCTAAAACAACCTTAAAGTTCGTATCATCTTGAAATTTGCATCAACCATAAAAGTATCATTGAGATTCTATTGTACTTCCAATCTTCAGAAGCGTACGCATTTGGGCTGGTTGGTTCATGTTCACAGAAGTTAAAAAACAGCGCTAAAAAGACGAGACAAGAAAAGAAAGGACAACAGGACAGCGCCCTGTCCTGTTGTCCTTTCTTTTCTTGTCTCGTCTTTTTAGCGCTGTTTTTTAACTTCTGTTTCCAATCTTCATTGCGCACGGGTTGCACTTGAAACTGTTGCTAAGCTCGATTTGGCATGTCAGTATTGCGTTGTAGGGATCAACAGTGCCACAAATGTCAGTGCTCAACTTGGAAAAAGTATAGCTGTGCTTTGCAGATGGTTTCATGGCCCACTCGTGGCCAAAGAAGCAGAAAGGCTCCTTCTGGAGAAAGGCAAGAATGGCAGCTTTTTGGTTCGGGAAAGTCGAAGCAAGCCAGGTGACTACGTGCTCTCTGTTCGGACTGAAGACAAGGTGACTCACTTCATTGTTCGCTGCCAGGTGAGTCTGACTTTTGAAAAACTTCTTTGGACTACGTGGTGATTTAGACACTGATAGCACATTGGGTGAATGTCGTCTACAAATGGCAATTTGCGTCATTAGATCCAAACTTTGTGTGCTGTAAATAGTCAATTTACGAACCTAATTTTGGTAACTCACTTGAGATATTTTTGTGAGGGGAAGTGATGTGTCATCATGTGGCAGTGATGGCATGTAGCGCCTAATATTTATATGGTCTCAGCTAGGCTATATTATTGAACGCTAAAAACTGTAAGCCACCCTTTCTATAATTTTTTTTAAAAGTTGCTACATGACACTGGGCAGTGGCATTGATTTGTTTGTATGTTTTGCCTTTTTTTGGCCCGTTTGGTCATCGCATGCAATCTGACCTTGTGGAAAAAGTACAGTGGTGTAGTGCAGTTGCCATGTCCTGGTCTGTGGAGTTGCTGTCAGCGCGTAGTTGCTGGCTGCGCAAGCAGTGACAACTCTCCAGTGTCTTCAAGGAGAGGGGTGGTGAGATTATCTGTAAAGGAATGGTCCAGTATGTCTTTGCAAGAACACGCGAAGCTAGCCGTTGATGTCAGTGGAAGGGAACGTTGAGCATTTTCAGTTTTAATTTTCGCGATTCTTTTTATGTTTTCATGTACGTTAGGCATCACTCCCCAGTCCTCGCAACTCCTACGTCCTATCACAACACCGTCCGCTCACACACTACCCACACAGGACTGATGTCCGCTGTTGCCACCTCATCCAGGGGGCGCCGCATACCCTCCCATCAATACCGATGGATGTCCTCACAGCTGTCCCCCACTTGAAGCGTGAAACTCCTGCCCTGTCGACCGTGGGGGATAGTATTTGGCGAGTTGGTCAGCCTCTCCACAAGCTTTTCTAGTCTGCAGGTGGGCGAGCTTGAAGGTATTGGGACTAACACGTCTGTAGATGCGGAATGGTCCATTTCGCTTTGGTGCGAGCTTTGACGAGATGCCCCTTGCAACGTCACTGAGTATGTGGGTTTCACGGAGGACAAGGTTGCCTTCCTCCAATGTCGTGGCTCGCCGTCGCTGATCATAGTGCTGCTTCTGTGTATGCCAAGCATGTTGCTGATGCTGCCGTGCAGCCTCCATGATCTCCGCTAAATGGGACTGAAGTTCTGCTGCGAATGCATGAGAAGCTGATGCAGCCAGCTCGGCATCCTGCTTCTCTCCGGTAGGTTGCCAGAGGGTTCGTAGTTCACGGCCATAGCAAAGTACGGCTGGGGTGTACCCAGTAGCAACACTTACGGCAGTTCGCATTGCAAAAGCAATCTCGGGAATGTGTTCGTCTCAGTTTTTGTGCTCATTGCAGTACGCTCAAAGGCACTGCTTCAGGGTGCCAATATGCCGTTCGACCATTTGTCCTGCTGGCCTGTAAGGTACAGTGTGGCGCTCCGAGATGCTCCATCGCCTCGGGAAGCTCTTCCATACCTTACTAACAAAGTATTTCTCGTCATTGCTAGAAACAGCAATAGGTACTCTATGTCTGCAGATGAATTCTTCCACACGGCTTGCTATCTGCTGTGTTGTTGCTGCACGAAGAGGGAAGAGCTCAATGAATTTGGTGAATTCGTCAACAATGACTAGCAAGTGCTTGTGCCCTGAGGGCTAGTACCGTATATACCAGTATAAGGGCCGCACTTTTTCTTTTTTTTTTGAAAATTTTGCTAGGTGCGGCCCTTACCCGAATCAGGCCGATGACAGCTCACCAAAGGTCTGTACTGTTTATGCAACAGTAGCAGAGTGCAAGAGAGTCACATATTCTTTGAGTGTTCATATATATAGATACGTATGCACATACGGTGAAGGACGGCGGTGACAGCAAAAAAAACAGCCTGGACTGTCCATATAATTTCTATTACAATGAAAAGGGGCCAGATCCATTTTAGCGTTCCTGTCAAAAGAATCTAGCAGCGGCAAAGCTTTGACCCGCGCTGGTGCGGCAGCCAGCTGCGCCGTCCCGTCTGTTCACGTGTGTCCCAGCAAGGCACACGCGAGTTATTTTAACTGAAATAGATCCTGCTAGCTTTGTTGATCCTTTGAGACTCTCACCTTAGTGAAAAACTTTACCCTCGTGTGTTTGGCCACTCCTAGCCACTATATGACCGCAACGCTGATGTAGCTGCTTGCGATTGAGACCCCCCTCCCATCCCCTTTTGTTTTTTGCGATGTTTTTTGTTTGTTTGTTCTTAGTAACGCCCCCCCCCCCCCCCCCCACCACCTTGTTAAAATCTCCCGGATTCAGAATCCTTGAACTTGGCAGGTATGCATGCCAGGAATGTTTTTATTGAGATTCCATTTCGCTGTCACTGACCTCGTTCTCGGAGGAGCTTGCCTCGGCGCCCGCGTCTTCCCAGAGACGGTCATCTTCGGTGCCGTTCATGCAGTTCGAAATGCCTGTTGCCTTGAAGCTTTTTGCAACTACTTCTACTGACATGGCACGCCACGCATTCAAAATCCATTCACACACCTGTTGGAGTGTTGCCCACTTCAGCTTCAGCCGTCCTGTAGGGGTCTTCTCATGGACGCCTCCAGCCATTCATTCAGAGTAACAATGGCGAAATTCCACTTTGAATGGACGGTTAACGCGTACGTCGAGCGGCTGCAGCACACTTGTAGGCCTCCGGGAATAACGGCCTAGTCCGTACGAGTTGTGGCAAGTCGGTTCTTGACGCGGTCAGTCAAGTGGCCCCTGAAAATGTCCAAAACAAGGAGGGCTTTCCGTTGTAACAGCCCTCCAGGTCTATTTGCCCAGACTGTCTTAATCCAGTCAACAACCAGTTCGTCGGACATCCAGCCCATCTCTTGAGCACGTACGACGATTCCCTGAGGGAACTTCCATTTGGGAGAGTCTTCCTTTTAAATACGACACACGGCGGAAGCTTCCTGCCGTCTGCCGTGATGCACATCATCACAGTGCATCTCTGACGTTCTGCACCGGTCGTGCGCACAGACACACTTTTCGCACCTTTCGAATCTACTGTGGTGCTTTCCGGTGCACCGAACCACACCCCGTCGTGGTGGTCTAGTGGCTAAAATACTCGGCTGCTGACCCGCAGGTCACGGGTTCGAATCCCGGCTGTGGCGGCTGCATTTCCGATGGAGGCGGAATTGTTGTAGGCTTGTGTGCTCAGATTTGGGTGCACGTTAAAGAACCCCAGGTGGTCGAAATTTCCGGAGCCCTCCACCACGGCCTCTCTCATAATCATATGGTTGGTTTGGGACGTTAAACCCCACATATGAATCAATCAATGCATCGAACCACACAGGTGTCTGGTCCGCATTACCAATTTGGGACAGGTCGTACTTATGCTCCCTCCTGAGAGCATTCACGAAACGATGCAACTTTATAACATAGTCTTCGTACTCGTCTGGCAGTTTTTGGCAAATCATCGTTTGGCGCCGAATAGAAAGATAGTTACGGTTCACAAACCGTGTAGTCCAGCCCCGACTTGCCTTGAATTGTGCCTGGGGTATCTCCATGTGGCAGGCTATGTTGAGGGCTTTGACGCGTATCATGTCGGTCGATATGGCGTAGCCGTTCCTTCGTGTGTCGACGACGTAGTTGGGGAGCTCGCTTTCGAGTTGCGGGTACTTGCACTTTTTCCCGCGAAAGGCCTTTCAGCACCTGTTAGTAGCAGCGAGGGCATCTTTTTGCTTCAGACAGTAACGCACACGCTTCTCATCGACGTCGTACTTCCATCCAGCTGCCTGCTTCCCTTGCTTCTCGGCATCGTCAATCACTTGCAGTTTTAAATGCTGCAGTGAATGATCTAAGATGCTGGCCCATCGTTCGTCACGTGCGCTGGCTTCTGCAGGGCTCACTACTACCAACAAAGTGATTCTGACGACACCGATCTGAAGTCGTGCTGCCAGGAACGATACCAAGAAAGAGGCCGCACAAGGCAAATAAGGCGGCGCACTGTCAACAGCATGAAGGAAGGAAAAATGGTAAACTGCGTGGTCGGCGCATTGACGGAAGTAGAATAAAAGCGGAAAAGCTTGCAGTGTCATCTGGCTGTAAATAAACTAACTACACTTTTCTGGCGGTTCTTTTTGAACTTTTTTTTTTGAAATTTCCGCTTTCAAAGTGGGGGGTGCGGCCCTTATATGAGGGCGGCCCTTACAGAAGTATATACTGTAAATAATGGCCCCATCAAGTCAATACTAAGTTCTTCCATTGGTGCAGCAGGCCATTGACTTGCCATGAAACCCTGGAGTTCGCAACGCTGTGCTTTCGTCCTTTGACAGACTGAGCAACCGCAGACATACTTTGGTATGTCATTGTTCATGCCCAACCACACAAACTTCTCCCTGATGTGCCGCAATGTCCTGAAGAATCCTGCATGGGCACTTGTTGGATGGTCATGGGCCATCTGCAGGACCAAGGAACGAAGATGAGCAGGCAACCAAGCTACTGTACGGTCGCCGCGGCATTGTACCGAAAGTCTTGATGACTCTCAATGGGATGTGGATGCTAGGTCCTCCAGGAGACGAGTTTGGGCAGTGCCTTTCGGCAGAAATTCTCCCTGGATAGTCTTCGTTATGTCACACTTCGTTATGAGTTGAGCCAGCAGAGCGTGTGGTGGTCGGTAACTACCGAAAATGGGCGTCCGTATAGATAAGGCCGGAATTTCGCTACCGCCCATACAAGAGCCAAGCACTCACGCTCTGTGATCGAATAGTTACGTTCAGGTGTGGATAGGAGGCGGCTGGCGTATGCAATAACGCAATCATGGCTATGTTGTGTCTGAGCCAGCACTGCACCAATGCCATGTCCACTTGCATCTGTACGGATTTCCGTAGGGGCAGCAGGGTTGAAGTGTGCCAGAATCGGAGGAGTAGTGAGAAGAGCGATGAGGGTCGAGGATGCAGAAGCCCCTTCGGAGCCCCATGAAATCGGGACACCTTTCTTGAGGAGCTGCGTAAGCGGCCTCGCTATGAGTGAGCAAACTTTATTTAACCAGC